ACCATGCTAGGAAACAGATGAGATTAATAAATTTCATTTGAACTTTCTGTATTGTCCTCACTCACTGCATTCAATTTTAATTTAATCAAAATGTTCCTTCCCTTTATTCACCAAATTATGGAGAACCATGGCAAGAGATTAGCAAGGAATAGGATTTGTTTTTTGTAAACACTTTCACAGAAGTTTAGGGTTGGAAGGGACATTCAGTGTGGTCTTCCCAAGTCTGAAGCTTCTCTCATCTCTTTGATGCTCCATGTTTTCCTAACAGCTGCACTGACATTTGTAAAAGTGAACTGACATTAATAAGGTTGGACAGTTTCACTACCGCTAATTAACATCTGGACTGTAAAATTCTCTTTGTGTAGACTCATCCATACTATACATTAAGAAGTATTACTCAACAGCCCCTTATTGTGCCAGGTAACTGTACACCAATGTGGTTATGGTTTGCAGGGTGGGGGGGGGAAGAAGCACAGGAAAGGGAGGACAGCCAGGAGAAGCTGCCTGTAATTTCTTATTTTTTATTTCTGGAGGTGGAGGCAAGCAGCAACACAAGTTTGAAAGAATCTGAACATGTGCAGATAATCCTTGAAAAATCCATGCACTTCACTACTTTTGCAGAGACTGAAACAGAAGTGCTGAAAAACCACATGAACAGCTCTCTCCAGGTCTCTGCCCTGCCTATCCTAGCAGTACAGGTACTAGAATTACTACCCCAGACATTTTTATATTAAAATGTAAAACAGTCCTAGTTTAAGTGCCAAGTGAAGGATATGTAATATGACCCATGACAATTAGCTTTTCCCTATAAATTCATTAAAATGTATAAGTATGGGCAAACCATTCATCACCTCTTATTATGATTTTTTTTTTTTTTTTTTTTTAAGTATTTTATACACTTATCAGAAATATTTTACTCAGCCCAAGCAACAAGGTAAGTAGAGTTTAAGAAAGGTAGTTCAGGATTGTTTTGTTTTCCGCCAAGACATTCTAACATGCCGATTTATTCAGCTTAACTCCAGCAATGTAGCTAGCTTACACACCTTGCTGAAAAGTTGGTTATTTAGTAGTTAATTTTAAACTGTTTTCCACAAAACACACCCTGATGCTCACCCCAAGAAACAGGCACTTCATAAATATCACAGTAAAAAATAAGGGTCTGACTGAGATGGCTGTTTAAGTTCCTCTACTGATTAAATGCATCCTTAAGAGAGGGAACTCATACCAAAAAGTTAATTATTAGACTACTGAATAAAAATATTAGCTTGCCAAGCTTCTCTTCTTCCAAATCCTGCTGA